CAAAACTACCGTCTTACCCCGCATATAAGGCATAGGTGCTGTAAATGAATACAACGCTACTTGTGTGTTATATTCATTTAGAAAGCCTATGTGTTGTACAACGAACAAATTGTTTGACTTTGAAGAAGCAAGTCTGTGGGTCCTGGAATATGGCTTGGTCGTTTAGGCTTGACCCTCCTACGCGATCGGCGTGGGTTCAAACCGCCACGCTGTGCTTCTTGCTAAGAGCAGCAAAGCCGTGACCTTTCACGCCTATCCGAGTCTGCTAGAACAGCGAGTTTCTCGTGGATACTATAGCTACGTCGCTCAGCACTCATGACTGTGTAAATTATTAATTAAGAGAATTAAAGCTAAGTAACAGCAGCACCGACTAGTTTGTTCAGAAGGGTGGTTGGTTGGGAGCTCTCAAGAATATTCATTGGTTGGTACAGCCTTGTGTTTTACACATGTGTTCTAATTAGATAGGTGGTCAAATTGAGGTTTAAGCTAGATGTCGAGCGAATCCCGAATTTATTTAGAACACATATGCCTTATATGCGGGGTAAGACGGTAGCAGAAAGCCTTTAAGCGAGCAGCTGATTGGTCTTAATTGCTGTTTAGATTACGGCAATTGTTTTGGTTGACGTTTGAAGCAAATCGGCCACCTGGTCGCAAAGTTATCGTTTTGCAAGGTTCGTGGTGTAGAAGTGAAATTTGAAGATCTTTCGCCGGGATGTCAATTTTTCACGAAATGTTAAAGAAACCTGTAGAGATGTAGCGTGTGTGATTCTCTATTGAGCGGTGCCACGTAGAGTGCCTAAATATCTCTACGGTCCGGTTTGCAGTGGCCGACAACAACAACAGCATTTGTATGGGCGTACTTAGGCGGATAACGACAGTACTATAAAATGACTTGAATTTGTAAGCTATAAAAAAATTGTACTTCGAACTATTGGTTTTTTTCTGATACTTTTAAATTATTGGCTTCCGATGGTTGTACCTTTACAACTCTTTTGTCTGTTAGCTACCGGTACCACTAGGATGGGGTAGCTCACCATCTCACGAACAAGTACCCGAAAATTGATAAGTTGTGATGCATACTGTAGACACAATTCTGTAAAATCCGCTCATAAATTTTAGAAATCATTTTTTTATTTATTTCTTAAACGCAGCACCTACAATAGAAACATCACATTAAGTGACGGCGAACGCCGAAAGTTTCGCCAGATCGTCGCCTTCAGCCTTATCAATAAGGCGCTTACCAACGTAGTCGGACACAAAGGCTAAATTCGAGCCGTCGCGAAAGGAATCGCTGCAAGGAACAATTTTAAGTACTCGATGAATTTCGTCCTCTTCTGTCACCACTCGATGCGTTTGAGCGTATTTAACCACTGTTAACGCGTCGAAAGACCCAATGGCGGACAACTGCAGCGCGTCCTCTCCTTCTTGGTCCTTAGCAAAGATGCTTCTCACGATCCCACCATACTTGTAAAATCTTGCTTCCAGCTCTTCCTCTTGCAGCATCAAGTCATCAGGTAACAGCGCGTTGCACTCTTCTAGCTCCTCCAACGTCCACGCCGGCAAAACAAAGATTGGGCAACAATCCCGACATTTTGTCGCGTCTTTTGACGACGAGAAAAGCACAGAAACTCCACGCCAATGTTTCAAATTGTTGGAGCTCCCATCGATAAGTCGGAGTACATTTTTTTGGAAAGAAAGCATAGAAATTTCCTCTTGTTCCAAAAACCGGAACGCTTGCTGATCAGCTTCATAAAGGAAGTAGCACTCTTCACAGTTCAGCACCAAGTCAAATGGAGGCAGCGACCTGACAGCTTCTAGTTGCGCCTTGATCAACTGAAACGCACAGTAGAGGTAGAATCGGCTCTTGCCAGCGCCGGGGTTACCAGTCACAACAACAAGTCCCGCTCGTTGGGTTTCCAAACAATCTCGCACGTTTTCCACCACTCCATTGAAGATAACTTCGTACATCTCGCGCACTATGATCCTCTTAAAGCGATCCGCTGAATTTACAAGCGGCGGAAAATCGGCCATATCGAAGTACTTGATTTGTTGAGCGGCTGGAATCTCATTCTGATCTTTAGTTTCGGTGCTGGCCCTAATGCTGTTGGAATGTCTGTGGTGGTCATCATCGTCATTGTCGATATCTTCATCTATATCTTCATCTGCATCGTCGAGTTTGATTCGTTTCGGTGCAGATAACAACATGTCGGACGCAAACCATTCCTTGAATCGCTTACGAATCACTCCGCTCTGCTCTAAAGGAGGCGGTGGTAGCTCAACAATGAGTGTTGTCTCGCCTTCAATATCTGCTAACGGTGATCTAGGATCTAACGGTTGTTTATTGCGTCGTGACGTGATGTCCTTATAGACCCGAAGGTTGGCTGCATCACAGCTCGCCGTGGTATTTGGACACTGGGTGTTTACAGCATACCGGAGACGATCAACAAGTGAATTGTCAGGTAGGTCATACGCTCGGGTTGGCCCCGCCTTCTCCTCTCCTTTGTGGTTGACCACCTGGAACCATACTTCGCGCCTCATGCTGTTGTAGCAGTTCTTTTTTTCTATTTTCTATGCTCTATTTCTTTTTTCTATGAAAGGAGAAATATTTAAAAAGAATATAAATAGCTTCAGAAAGTAGTCCAATTACAAGCCCGCTAATTATCATTATCGGAATATTTCACGCCGTGAATACATACCGGACAAGTTGCGGCAAATACGTAGCATATTAGCCTCAGGATTTGCATCACTTTTCAATTCCATGGGACTGGATCGTGCGTTCAGTAAAAATCGACAAGAAAAGGAGGAGAACGAGGTCTCTGATGTTGAGAGCTCGCTAGTGCACTGCATGACGTGCTCGGTGAAATCCGTTACAAGCATTTCGCTAAAAACTTGTACATGTGCAAGTATTGTTCTGCCATGGTAGTTTAGCATCAAGTTGCTGATCAGAGGGCTTCGATTTGCACAAACAGTGAGTGGTAAACATCCCTGATTATAAAAGGCGTAATCAAAATCTCTCACAAAGTTCTACAGTGTACTAAAGTACTTCTATGAAGTATATAATGAGCAAGTACACTGTACATGTACGTCCATTCTATCAACGCATTTAATATTGGCACAATAGAACTCTAGGCAAAAGGTGGTGATTACAAGTGTACGTAAATTCGAGGATTCCAACGCGCACACGCTGACAGTGAGTTTTTTTTTATTTACTTGCATCCTCAAATTCAGGCTAAAGCTCCAAGCACCGGATTCCCTTCGTGTACCCACCCACGCTTTTATGCTGACAGATCAGCTATGGAAGCCAGACAGTTCATGGCTGAAGTCATTCAGGACGGAGTTGCATTAGAACTAGGCCTTGGTATCTTCGTCAGTGTCTAAAGTTTTGGAATATGATGCATTCTACCGATCCATGGAATCTGACTTTTTCTACCAAATTTACGGTGTCGAAGGGAACGCAGACACAATTTTATCCAAGTTTGGATGGTTTGACTGGTCGAAGCCCAGGAGCTCGCCGTTCTAGTGTACGGCGGTGGCTCCATATGCGACGTAGAGTGCTTTTAGTCAGCTCAAGAAGTACGTGACGGCCAGTTTCTGCGGAACTACATACAACAAGCTGTAGTCCAAGGAATACTTTGGATTGCTTTTTGTCGGTCTAGTTATCCCGCATCATGCCAGCATTGTCGGTGGTTTTAATGTACTGACAACAACTGAGCAGTTTTTTTGCTGTTCTATACTGAATTCCAAAGCTGGGTTGGCGATTTAGTTCGACGCCACGTTCACCAGCACTTTGTATGCTGCAAAGCTGAATCACGCGGATACAACGTTCCGTGACAGCGACGGGTTTATTCAGCAGTGCCTATAAGCCCTTGGAATGGGTTGAATGCCTTCTGTAACACAAAAGAGTCTCAAACATTTTGAAATGTACGAAAATGCTCGTTACGTTGTCTTGCCGTAACCACAGTGTTATGAGGCTCCTAATTAGAGGTACAAACGTGATGGTAATCAGTTTCTCCGCGGGGGGCAACTTGTCAAGGAGGAGTGGCAAACACCCACCGTTAACTTTTGGTATAAACAAGGATCCGGATCCAAAAACAAGTTTCCGTGGCAAAAAAGCATAGTGTATCCTACTTCGAAGTATTAGAAATCGATTTGCTGCTGTCAGAGGGTAATATCTCGGCCATCCGAAGCTCAGATTCTGCGCCACTTCGACTGACATGTGAATGGGATCCACGAAGCAGAAGTTGACGAATGTATCCAATTCTTGTCCTTCTTTGTGCAACATCAAATGAACAAAGCGTGTCCAGCTATCAGCAAAACCTGTAAAAGCCTTAATACATGTCAATAAAAAGTTTCATTGCTTACAGTATCTAGAATAAATCGAGTTTGAACTATTATATCTTCACATTTTGGTTACTTGACGATATCCAATTGAAGAGGTATTTTGACAGTCGTCTGCTTCTCGGTGGAACGACGTTATCAAGACGTGAATCACGGTGCAATACTGTATCAGCTCGCCAGGATGGCGGCCACTGCACGAGAGAAAATAGGAGAAACACACGTCCATCGCTGGGATAACACACACGGGGCTGGGCGACGTGGGTGCCATAGCCGCGGCGCCAACTAAGGTGAGCGGGTGCGAGGCGCGTAGCCGCAGCAAACCCGCGCGGAGAGCCCGCGAAGCAGGGCCGCGTGGTATTGGCGGAGGCGGGCCCAGCGCTGAGCTCACCAGCGAGCCGAGCACTACACTTTCCAGAACATTCTATCTCCATATTGCGAGCGCAGCGAACCGCGGGGGCGCCGAAGGGGCGCCCAGCCAAGCGAAGCGCGGCTGGTCCCTTTTCTGCTGTGACCTCTAATCGTCGATTATGTCTTATTGCGACACTCAGAAGGTCAAAAGTATACATAAGTCAAGTCAAATGATTTGCTGTGTGCTGAAACAGTAAATACATGTGTTTGGCATGTTCTGTCACTGCACGAGACTCCACTTCATTACACAACTTGCTCAGTGGCTCAGGACTCGACTTCCTCGCTTCACACCATCTAAATATGAAGGCAGGACTCGTTCTGGCAGCAACTGCCTTCCATGCCGTCGCTGCAACCTCCTCGCTTCCGTCCATCAAGCTCAGCTTCAACATTCAACGGCCCGCTATGGAGGTCTACGGATCTTCCAGCTTCGACGTCTACGTCAAGCCCGTTCTAAGTGGTGCCAACGTCTCCTTCGATGGCAAGGTCACCTTCCAGCAGGGCGGCACCACCCACAATCTGTACGTCGTGAACGGTATTCCATACCACGAGGTCATTAACAGCACTACGGACTCCACGACATGCCTACCCACTGAGCTGTTCCCGAGTGTGTCTGAGATCGTGGATGCCATAGCATCGGCGACTCCTGTCTCCACAGTCAACACCAACCTAGACATATTATGCAACAACGGTACTTGGCTCAGCACCACCTTCGCTGGTGAGTCCTACGTGCTGTGTACTGGAGCTGAAGATAGCAACTTCACGGTGTATGGCGAGGATTTGAGTATCTCATTCGAGTATCTGTCCGAGGACGTGACGATCACCAGGCCCTCAAACGCTCCTAGTGACTGTAGCACCGTGTCGGATGGTTCAGTAGCTTTATCTTCTCTCGGTCAGCTCTATGGAATCACCATGTCACACTCTCATCGTGTACTGAAAGAAGAGGCCGGAGCTGTGCACCTCGCCAGCTCGACATGCACTTGTCAGGGCACCCCTCGTCCGTGTTTGTTCTTCCACGGCATGGACGTCACAGCGGATGGTGGCATTGTGGACAGCTACTCGTTCTTCGGTGATATCAAGCAGCACGCACCCTGCTGCTCCTCGTTTAACTTTGCGGTTTTAAACACCGTGGACTACGAATGGTACAACGATACGTTGCAGCAGAAGGCTTGCAACGCAGCGATGCAAGTGAGTACAGGCACTGCCAACAGTGGCTCGACCGAGATCAACAATCTGATTATTGTGGCTCACTCCATGGGCAACAATATGTTCGCGGGGGCGTTGGCGACAGGGAAATGTTCGATTGGTAGCAACGTCGACTGGGTGGATCTGAGTGGCCCTATGAGGGGCAGTATGGGCTCAGACTTTATTCACCAGATCTGCGATGGCGGTAACACGTTCAAGGACATTTTTGCTCAACTTGGCGGACTTATCGGCCAATGTCCTGGTACCACAACACGGCGGTCACTTGTGTACGATGGCGGTAACTATTGTGATGCTGAATGCTCTGCTCGCTATGCAGCGGCACAAGCTGTCCACAAGAAGTACGTGACTGCTAGTATGTGTGGCACGACGTACTCTGGATTGCTTTCTAGCGAGTACGCGGGCCTACTGGCTGGCGGTTTGCTCATCCCGCACCATTCGTCCAAGAACGATGGCATTGTAAGTGTTCTCAGACCTTGAAAGCTGGTTGTATAGCTGATCAATGACTTTCTTGATTTTTACTGTGTGGTTGTTAGGTTGAGTTCCAGAGCTGTGTAGGGAACTTGGACTCTTCGGCGTTCGAAGCCACGTACTCAAGCACCTGGTATGCTGCGGCATTGAACCACGCTGACACGACGTTCCACAACGGTGAAGGATTGTTAAGTAGTGCGAAGAAGCCTTTGAAGTGGTTCGAGTGTTTGCTATAAGGTCGTAGTACTTGACTCCAGTATAGCAATCGAATGCTCATTCCAGTGAAGTCTCTTCTATTTCGTATATTGCTCACTGTCTTCACCTGTGCGGCCATCTCTATTGCGGTGTGTGGATGACAGCAGACTCCAACACGGTGTCCACTAGTTCCATTCGCTTGTCCTTCGTGACCAACTCCAGTTCGACCTGGTTAAAAGCAGCAACGTAGTTGTACTTTACATACCCCAGTCTGCACAGTCAAATATTGCACACACAACAGCGAGTTAAAAAAGGACAGTCGATGTCAAGCCAACTTCACAGCTTTACTTTTCGAAGAGCTGGATTGAAGCTTGGTTGGTCTCGATGATCTTACAAATAAACCGAGTCACGTGGAGTGTGGACGTAGCTGCAAGCAAACAAACAAAAACGTCAGCTGCACGGCCATAACACCCCGACATTGTCCTCCATACCGTAAGCCATCATTAGCTTCACCGCTTCCATTGCAAAACCCTTTCGACGATATTTCTCTTCGGCTATCATGATCTCCATCTCACACGCATGGGGATCGTCGTAATCATTGAAGAACAAGTTCACGTCCCCAGCCATACCTACAGTACATTAAGTATTTTTCAAGACATCAGCTTTTCCAACTTCACTATTTCCTCCTCATAGCCGCCATCACTCACGGTTGATTGCGTTCTCGTCGACATAAGAGGCTCCAGTTTTGCCGTCACTGTCATCACTCGCCAACACGATGAAAGTGCACTCTATCCATACCATAATAACAATAAAATCCCCGTCATTTGCAGCGATTATCTCGAGCACTGCACTCGCACTCTCGGCGTCCTCTCTCCACGACTTCTGCATTTCAAATTCTTCCTCTATGGACAGCGGCTCAGACGCTGTCATCTCTGCAGACGCTCAATATACAGAGGACTATTGAGCTTAATACCGCGGCCAATAGCGAAAGCATAAGGTATCATAGTGCTCGCCTTGCAGCCATGGGTCCTTCATCCAGTTGTGATACTTGGACACATGCTCCTTCTCGTAGGGCACCAATGTCACCTGCTGCCCAGTCTGTAGCCGAGCCATAGTATATTATATAGCAATGGTTACGTAGCTATTATCAGAGCCGTAGTGTCAGCGGTAGTGCACGTACAATGACGACGCCTTCGTTTGCCTTCATGATGACCGTGTGAAATGCCGGGTTTTGATAATTATTTGCTGCGGGGGTTTTATGTCAGAAACGCAAAACAACACGCAAGTTTTATTAGGATTTAATGAAAACGCTGCTTTTTACACGCAACTTAAGCCTGAAAAAAAAAGAATGTGGTGTGACGCACCCGAAATTATCAATCTGATCGCAATCAAATTCAATATGAGCGCTTCGACGGAGGACGTCGCTCTCGATGCAAATATTGGGGAGGTTCTGCCTGTTCTTATCCATCATAGATGGGTCGATGTAATGTGCCTTATCAAACCTGCCCGAATATGATTAAGACTGCTGCATATTGACTTCCGTATGCGCTGCAAACTGCAGATCGATACAGTGGAAGCTGTCGCAACGACCAGTAAGACTCTGTGGTCGCTAGTGGGGCGTAAGAAGCTGCGACGACTAGCAGTTCGAGTCAACGGGTTTCCAATAGGCTCCAGATTCCGGTGCGTGCTGTAATTATCGACGCTGATAACTCGAAATGTAGCTGATTTTTTTACTGTCTTGTTGAAGCTACTGGCTGCGAGCAGGAGATGTCTCGACACTAATGAAGAAGGTTCCAGACGGAGTGAGCAGACGAGAATTTTATCTCAAGGTAGAGACATCAATTGCAGGAGATGAAGAGCATAACTAATAGTGCTGTCTAAGCTGGCGAACATCGAGAGTCTGGAAGATAGTGCAACGCTGGAGACCACAGGTGTGGAAGGAGAAATCGACCGAGATATCGAGCGAACTTTCCCGACGAATCTCTTCTTCTCGGAAGACGGTACGAACTATGAGATGAAGAAAAGAAGAAGGTTGTGCTGAGTGTATTACTGTGGTTGTCAGGTGACGGTAAACGTTTACTTGGAAATGTCCTGAAGGCGGTTGCGCTTTATGCAGACGACGTTGGTTACTGTCAGGTATGTTTAATTTATTCTATGCTAATTCGTGTTGTTGTATTATCAAACTGAAGGGATTACTGTTCAAGGGGATGAATTACGTTGTCGCTGCTCTGCTGCTCGTGATGAAAGACGCTCAAGAAGTCACAGATACGGATCTCGACGGACTCTCGACGCAAGAAGCGGCGTTTTGGCTGACCCTGGCCTTGATTCGACGCAAGGGGATGGCGGAGTTGTGGAAGCACAAGATGCCAGGGTGCGGCAGTTTGTGAGAAGTTGTTGCTGGCAACGTGCTGATGATTTGTGTAGGCTCTCGCAGTGCATTTATCTCTTCCAGCAGCTTCTCAAGCTTCACTTTTATGATCTATCGGCCCATTTTCGACATATTGGGATGCATTCCAGTATCCTTGTCACCCAGGTATCTGGAATCAGCTCAAGTGCATACTAAAGTGACTAACACGGTCGTGTTGTAGTGGTTTGTGACGATATTTGCTCGTGTACTGGCCCTGCCGACACTGGTCCGAGTTTGGGATCTCGTCTTACTGGACGGTTGGAAAGCTGTGTATCGAGTGGCGCTCGCCATCACCGCAGAGTTGCGACCGAAGCTTCTGGCCATGGTAGCACCCAGCGTATACTTTGTCCGAGTCGACGTATACTGATGCCAACTGATTCTGTCTAGGACCTCGAACAATGCAGCGAGTTTTTCCGAAAGAACCCCAAGCTGGGACTAGAAGAAGTGCTCAGCAGTGACGTGTTACTACAGCGTGCCATGAGCTGCAAAGTGACTCGTTCCAGTCTTCAGCAGCTGGAGGAAGAGCGTCATCTTGAGGTTGGGATCTCCTCGATTCTTCCTGCAGAGCATCCAACTAACGCTTCGTCTTAAAATCTCTGCAGTATCTTCGTCTTCGCTTGCAGCAAACGCCGCTATCAGAAGAGCATCGCATGTTGTTCCCTACACTCGAACACGAGGACGTCGCAGCCAAGAAAAAGTCGCTGGAACTCATCCGATCCAAGCTGCAGCGCTTCGACACGGACGTCGCAAGTGACACCGTGTTCCTCCAACACAAAATCGAGTTAGCCGAGAAGGCTCAAGCCACTGCCATGTCGGTCCGCTACGCCATCGCGTACGAGTTGTCGGAGGCTGCAATCGAGTTGAACGAGCGTCTGGAGATCAAGAACCGACTGCGCTCCAAGTTCCGGAAGCTCATGGCGACTGCGATCACCGAAGCCACCACATCGTCCAGCTCTTCTTCGTCCGGTTTCTCGCTCTGGATGAACCCATTCGACTTCTTAAACGAGCGAATGGCCAGTTGTTTCGAGCGCTTGCCCCTGATTTCCAGCTATCTGGACACGGACACCGACGATGAGGAAGACATAGAAGCGCAACAGAACTTAAAACATCTCGACATGTTGGTGCCGCAGTTGGCAGCAGAGTTGCGTCTATTGCAACGCTCCTTGGCCTACAACGAGCGCTTGGTCCGTCCACTTGTGCAACGTACAAGAAGACTCCAACGTGACGCGCAACTGGCTCGTGTGGAAGTGGAAGAAACGCAGCTGTTCAAAGACCGACTGGCAGATCAGTTGCTGCAGATTATGTTGACAAGCGAGAAGCTCAAGAACGAGCGGATGCAACAGCTTTTTGCTGAGGTGGACAGGAACAAGCTGTAAGTACCGGTACGTCGATAACAACGTTGGAAGTATCTACTGTATTACTACCTGTTGTGGAAGACAAGACACGAGAGTTACAAAGTTCCAGAGCCACTCACAAGAAGCTTCCTTGGCGTCGCTGTCCCCATTCCATGCTACGTACTTGACTCCATTCTGTCGTGAGACTTTTACTCGCTCTCCGTCACGACGTCGGCGTCCGCGAACTCTGCGGCGACTGCAGGCTCAGCGACGACAGGAGCCATGCCCGGACCCCACGACGGGAGATCAGCAGCGACGCCACCGAGTGACGGGAAAGCGTCATTGTCACTGGCGTTGAACTTCTTGTTCTTGTTGCTTTTCTTCTGAGGAGAAGTGGGCTTGGCAGGAGCAGCCGAGGGCTCAGCAGCAGGCTCGGCAGGCTTGTCAGCCTTAACACGAGACGTCTGCTCGTTGAACCAGACCTTCTTGGCCTTGACAGCCGTCAGCGACTCCGACACAGCAGCAGCAGACGTAGGAGGCAGCAAGCCGACGGTGCTGAACGCCTCCATCTGAGCGAGCGGCAGTACCAGCTTGGTCGCCTTCTTGGTCTTCTTTCCACTGCGCCCCTTCTTGCCCTTCTTACTGCCTCCTCCCAGCATCATAAAGTCCTCTTCCTTGCGTTGCAGAGGCTTCATTCCGTCCAGCACAAGAGGAGCCGCAGAAGTCTCAGCAGCCTTGTCGTCCTCTTCCTTGAGCTCCTTCGCGTACGTCTTCTCTAGGAAGCTCACAAGAGCGTCGCACAGGTCCATTTCGTCCTGGTGCGGGTGGATCTTGGCCATCTCCTTCTCGTAATCGGCCAATTTGGCCTCGTACTCGGCCTTACGAGCTTCCTCTTCCTTCTGGCGCTCCATCTCCTTCTTCTTGCGCACAAGACGGATGTTGTTGTAGTACTTGTCGTTGGCTTCCTTGAACTCCTTCCGCAGCGCCTTAATGGCCGTAAACTTGTCGTCCAGCTGCTCCTTGATCTCCTTACGCTCCTTTGCGAGCACTGGGAACTGATCCTTCTTGTTCTCCTCCTCGTTCAAGCGGTACAGCTCGTCCAACGCCTGTTTCTGCTCGTTCAGCTTCTCCTGAATAGCGTCAATGTCCTCGTTCTTCTTGGTCTGAAGCGCGCGGATCTCCTTAATGCTCTCGTTCTGCTTCTCCACGACGCCCTGGTCGTCCGAGTAGCCACTGACTTGCTGCTTCTGGGCCTGCAGCTGCTCGATCTCCTTGATCACACGCTTCTCCTCGTTAAGAGACATTGAACTTGTCTCCTGCTTGTGCTTAAGCTCGGCAATAGCAGAGTCGAACTCGGCCACAGAACCGTACTTAAGGTTGGCACGCACACTACGCTGCTGCTTAACAGTCGAGTCCTTCTCGTCGCGGGTTTGACGCAGACGCGCCGTGATCTGGTTACGCTGCTGGATGAGGTTGTCCTTCTCTGCACGCAGAGACGCGAATTTGGCCTTGGCCTCCTGGATCGGACCGCCGTAGCCGCCACGGTTCGTCTTAAGCGCGTCCATCTCGGCGCGGATCACATTGGAGCGCGCCTGGAGCTTCTTGATGGCGCCATCGAGCACAGAGATCTTGGCCTCGTGCTCGGCCTTGTCGGGCTTGGGAAGACGCTCGATTACGTCCGGGATCTCCTGCTCCTCCACGGCGACGACGACCTCTTCGCTACTCATCTTTACGACGGGGTTGGTGGGTCTATGCGGTGGAGGGGGGAGTTTGACTGGCATGCCACGTGTTGGAAGATCTTATTGGTTGATAACAGATGGTTTGAAGGGATTTATTGACCAATCGATATGTATCACGTCGGAGAACATTTAGAAAACCGCTCTTGTGTACATTCAGACGACATGTATTTCAGATGCTGCACGCGTAAGATGACCAAGATGTAGACATCTTTTAGTTACTTCTGACATTCAGCCATTGGTTATCGATGTCGGCGGTGATGGATGGGGTAGTCGTTCCGGATAATTACAGTACCAGCATTCGTGCCCACCGAGCTGTGAAGTACATGTACATGTACATGTAAGCTGAATCCGGAAGTTCGCCTGAGCCGTCGCCCGGTGTTGGATTCCAGACCAGCTCGTAGAATTTGTAGTATCGTCAGTGGCACTGCAGCCAACCAAATATAAAGCCTCCAATACACTCTATGGGCTCTCTCTGCTGTCGCCGTACAGCACTCTCGAATCTGAGCTCGTGCCTTCCTGCTCGGCCTTTTGCCCAGCAGTTCATCTGTTAGTACTTGAGTATGGTAACAACAAGAAGCAGCCATCACTCACCTTCACAGGTTATAAGCCCAACGCGGGCACGGGCCTCGGAGAACGAAGAACGTCCAGTGAGTTCTACAGCAGGGCAGCAGCCAGCTCCAACCTCGGCAGACGAGACTCTGGTACAGACGATTGCGACCGCCGTTGTTCGTGCGTTGAGTGTGGTCCGGACGGGGCCACAACAAGTCGTTGAGAATCAGTCAGGAGATCCACCCGAAGAAGAAAACAGCCAGCTCCCCTCTCCCAGACCACAAAGAAATTTGGACGCCGAGCTCTCAGCCTCGCTCACCCGGTACGGAACCAGCTTGAACGCACCGTTCGAGCCTCGACGTTCCTCTTCCAGTGCCTACGAGACCGGCACAAGATCGTCCAGCGACAAGACCATCAAGAATAACAACATGGGCACCTGGTAGGCAAGCCAGATTCGGCTAGCCTCGACCAAGTTCGATGGGAAGGTTGAAAACTGGAGCAGGTGGAAGACTAAAATGTTCCACTGGCAGGGTCTGCTGCAGCTGGTCCAAGGACGTGAGGAGTTTGGCCAGGCGCGCGCTGACCGCAGCCAGGAGTGGATGAGCTGCTTCGAGACTCGTGAGCGCAAGGCTCACACAGAGATCGTGCTGTCGCTGTATGGCGACCTGTTGGATCGCTTCGAGAGCCATAATGAGAGTGCGCGACCTGCACAGCTAAAGACAGCATTGCTGTGAACCTATGATGGGACTCAGGGCCCAGCTCAATGTACCTAAAGCAGGACATGTACGCCCGCCACCTGAGGCAGGGCGAAGGGGTGATCAATGACCTTCAGCGCATGCGGCGCGAGCTAGAGCGGATGGATGCATTGCTACCTGAAGGAGAAATGGCTAGTGTGGTGTTGTCAAATGCAGCTAATGTCTACCCTTCAATTACCAATAAGCACACGCAGTGTGTGTCTCGCCTAAGCGGAGGCTACGACAAAGACCAACGTGTACAAGATACTGTCAACCTCCTACTCGTCGCTGAACGAACGGCTTAAGAGCAGAAAGATCGTGGCAACCGTAATGATGGACAAGGAGTCCAACGCCAAGTCAATACTGTGAGCCACCACCAAGGCGGTAACAGACAGCAACACGGTGGCAAGCGCCACCACAGTGGTGACACCGGACAAGGCTCATCAAAGAAGAAACGCAGCGAAGAAGAAGCTAGCAAACGGCGTGCAGAGATTCAGGAGCGGAAACACACAGCAGTGTGCAAGTCCTGCCACAAACGTGGCCATTGGTGGAAGGAATGCCCCGACCGAAAGTCCACCAACCGAGAGAAGATTCGGACCATGGCTGGTTCAGTGTTGCGCCGTGTGGAAGCGACGCGTGTGGAAGATAGTGGCCGTACTGTCATTCAAGATGCTGTCGATGAACGTCGTTATGCCGATCTTGGTTGAGACGCACCCACTGCGCATTAACCCTGAGCGCCAGCGTAAGGATGCTCATAGCTATTCTACAATCTATGAGCGACATGGATTGTCTGCTCTCATTGACGGAGACTTCGAGGAACGCCTACTACGCGCTCGTGACGCTCAACGTGAAGATGAGTCTATTGCGTACTCACCGACGTCGCCGCTGAACGACGATGATGGAGACAAGCGTGAAGCTAGTGGCTTACCGGTTGTTCGTCGTGTGCAGGCGGCAACAACCAACGGTGATACCGGGGCGGTACCGGCCGACGATATCGAGTGGATCCTTGACTCCGGAGCGCAAGAGAATGTGACTGGAGAGCTACAGCTATTTAACAATGTGATGGAATTGCAGCACGCGGAGTTTCTAGAAGGGGCTACTGGTTCTTGCGAGCGTATTGGAATCGCTGGTGCTGTTCTTATGCCAGTGTGAATGATCTCAATGGTCGTGTGGAGATGCGCTTATTGGGAAGAAGTGCGCTACTCTGCTGGGACTAAGGTGAACATGATCTCGCAGACCTACATGCAGCTCACGTGCGGCTTCAAGCTGATCATGTCAGACGACCAGTTGCTAACCTGGTTGGTGAAGCCTAACCTGAAGTTGAAGTTTGTGCTGCGTGATGGGCTGTACCGCATGCGGGGCAGCGCCATCATCGACTGGCACTGGGCGCTCAGAAGCGAACCGATGTACCAAGCGGGATGGAATTGCTTCATTCGCGTAACCACGTGAACATAGACACTATCAAGAAGATGGTGGTTGACAACGTTGATTTTGGAGTTAAGGTCTATATGAATGACCTAAGCCTCTACGCATGTATTCCTTGTGTTTATTAAAGATGAAAAGGATGACTTATCGTCGGGATCCCCGGAATGCAACGAAGATGCTAGAAAAAAATCTCAGCGGATCTTTGTTCAATCAGCGAGATTGCTGTTGACAAGTCAACGATGTTCCTACTTGTGATGGACAAGCTCTCGCGTTTCAGATGGGTGTTTCTGCTGCAGTCCAAAGTGGACGCTAGTAGATATCTACGTCACCTGATGTTGAAGCTAGAGAAGGCTAAGAAGTACAAGATCCTCGTGTTTCATGCTGATGGGGGTGGAGAATTTGTTAGCAACGAGTTCAAGGAATTCTGTGCCTCACAAGGAGTGGATATGCAGTTTACTAATGCTGACAGCCAGGATGAAAACACAATTGTGGAGCGAGCAAATGGTGTTATTGTGACTCGAGTGAGATTGATGCTGGAAGCGACGCACTTGCCAAATCTGATGTGGGGTGAAGCGCCCCTGCATGCAGTGAATACGTCGAATATTTGTCCGTCCTGTTCATTGAAAAGGAAAAGCTCATATCAGGTCTTCTACGACAAGAAACCTGACCTACAATCGCTACGTACGTGGGGATGCATGGCTCATGTACACATCAGTGACAGCTAACGACAACAGAAGGAGGAGCTGAGCACTCGTGTAAGGACATGTATTCTTCTTGGCTATGCTACGGATTGCAAAAGATACAAGCTACTCGACGTGAAGTCTGGATCTGTGATTACTGCAAGAAAGGAGAACATCAGATTTCACGAGTCGTTTACCGTTGACGCGGAATATATGGAGACGCTTTTACTGAACTGCTTCTTCGGTGGAGAATACGAACTACCTGCGAACGTACCTGTTGTGCGCATCAAGGCTGGAATGGACACGTATGCATTGGCTGTGGCGAAAGATAAGCCGAAGGTACCGATTACAATTATGGATGAAGCGTCCACATCATCGAGGGGACCGGCTGCAGCGCCGAACTCGTCAAATGAAATACAGAAGAAAGGGGAGCGGAAGCGATCCGAAGCGGATCGTAACTTGCTCGTACGTGATGCTGGTCTTGATGAAGACTGGGTACCACCCTCGTCTGCAGCAGACGCTAGAGTGGAGCGAGCACCTCGACCCCAACGCCAGCGAAAGCCGTCTGTGCGTCTTCGTGACTACGTCATTAACAGTGTCATTGTCCATGAGGACGTGGTTGTGCCTACAACCAACAAGCAAGCTAGAGCATCACCTCAATGGCCGCAGTGGAGGCAGGCTATGCTGGATGAACTACAGTCCTTGCGTGATCATGGGACTTGGACACTTGAGCCCCGCACTATGGAAGGACGCAAAGCTATTACCTGTCGCGGGGTGTATGCTGTGAAGAGAGATAATCACGGCAAGATCAAACGCTTCAAAGCTCGTCTTGTTATTCACGGGCTTAAGAAGCTATATGGACTAGAGTACACCGAGACGTACGCACCTGTTATCCGGTTTGAGATTCGAGCGGCCATCTACTTTGCGCTGCAGCGAGGCTGGGTGCTTTTGCATTATGCTGTCAAAACGGCTTTCTCGACAAGCTAATTTTAATGGAGCAGCCCCGGGATTTCAGTGCGAGCCGGACGGGTTTGTGTGTCTTTTGCTTTGGAGTTTTGTATGGGCTACGGCAAGCCCCTAGTGTTTGGAGCCGCACCCTGCATGAGGCATTGCAGCGGCTTTGGTTTTCCTGATTGGATTCTGACTACGGCCTGTACGCGCAAAACGTGGGAGACACTGAAGATATTTCTATGCTGATGATAGAGTATGTGGGTGATGTACTGCTACTTGGACCACCAGCACTTTGCAGCAGCATTGCACAGCAGCTCTCTCATCAATTTGAATTGACAAAGCTTGGCCCAGTGAAATACTTACTTGGAGTGGAGATCATGATTGACTCGTGCAGCAGCAGGTGATGTACTGTCAGCGCCAGACGTGAAAGACGTGCTGAAGAGGTTTAGCATGGCAGAGTGCAATGGCTGCATGGCGACTGAGGCAACGTCGCCTCAGCAGACGAGAGCGACAACAGAACAAGTCTATCTACCCTACCGCGAGCTAGTGGGGGCACTGCATTATTTGGTTTCGGCGTCCAGACCTGACATTGCTCATACTGCTCGCAATCTTGGGAAGTACCTGAAAACTACACCTACGAGCACTACTTCATGGCGAAGCGTGTGCTCCGCTACTTGGCACATACCGTTAACTACGGGCTAGTGAATGACATTGGTGATGGTTTGAAAGTGCGATTGACGTGCTTTACTGACGCAGACTACGCTAATGATGTGGATGACCGCAAAATGGTTAGTGGGTACGTGACGATGATCGATGACAATGTTGTATCGTATGCTTCGAGGAAGCAGGAGATCAATGCACAAAGTACTACGGAAGCGGAGTACGTAGCGATGAATGAAGGGACAAAGGATCTAGTGTGGGTGCTAGAACTGTGTGTGGAGCTGAAGTGGGAAGTAGAAGGCCCTGTGCTGTTTGGAGACAATCGAGGAAGCATATTCTTATCATCTAAGCCAGGGAAAACGTGTTTAAGTACATGTACATGTACATGTGAGCTGGCTCTGGAAGCGCGCCTGAGCCGTCGCCCGCTGTAAGGTTCCAGACCAGCTCGTAGGATATATTGGTTCGCCAGTGCCACTACAACCAACCAAATATTAAGCCTCCAGTACACTCTGGAGGGCTCTCTCTGCTGTCGCCGTACAGCACTCTCGAATTTGAGCTCATGCCCTCCTGTTCGGCCTTTTGCCCAGCAGTTCCTCTGTTAGTACTTGAGTATGGTAACAACAAGAAGCAGTCATCACTCACCTTCACACGAGCTTCCTCGATACCAATCGAGGCAGCAATGAATTTCGCGACTGTGCATGACTTAGCCACGACGCTCTGACGACGCGGTATTCAAACAACGGCGCAGCCGTGGATGCACAACGACGTCGCTGATTGACCTTCGATCCACCGTGCTGTTAGGTCGATGAGCAGTTCTTTTGGGGTGGCCCTCTCATTTTCCGGTAGACCATTGTCATGTCCAAAGTACCTGTGACATACCATAAAATCTGCTTCACTTGAGCCCAGTGTGAAACCGCGAGTTGGTCTGCGTGGGCGACGATTGATTTACCGCAAAGGATAAATCTGGCCGAGCCATTTTTCTCAGTAGTAGGGTGTCAGCCGCAGCACGGTAAGGAACGCGGTCAGCCAGCTCGTCCTCTTCATTACCAAAACTTAGGAAAGAGCTGATCGACCAAAATGCTATCAGTAACAGCTCTCACCGGTGGGACACTTTGGAACTGGATCAGGTTGGGGTAATTTCTACTAGTTTTTTTAGCACTAATAAGGAGATTTGCTAGCAGTTTTACCCGTAAACCTCGTTCGCTTAGGACAGAGGTGATGCGGTAACCTTAAGCGTTTGTTTTTCCCCTGGACTCCAGGCCGGGGCCCTCCGGCCTCCGAGAAGGGGGGGGGGTCTCTCTATGCAAGCCCTAAACGGATTCATTTCACGATACATGTACTGCGTAAGCGTATCCTAGGCTCATATTTGTACGAGTATTCATTGGTACATGAACAATACATCAGTACCGGAATTAACGTGTTTTCTGCAACCGTGTAAAAAGTACCTTTCAAGTCAAAACCGTAAGAACGGCGGAAGGCGTAAAATCTCGCACAAGATACTCCTGTCAATTTGAAACCGTCGCTTTGCTCACAATATTGTAAGCAATAGCGCGCTTTAACTGGGATACTGTTTTGATGCCAAACTGGTTAATTTTGTTGGTGCTGCAGACTTTTTACGGGCCACTGGTTGCAAAAAATTAATCGGTTGCAAAAATACCGTTAATTCCGGTACAGTGCATAAATACTTGTAGTCGTTATTAATTCTTCTTAATTTGGTGAAATATCTGGGTTTTCTTTTCATAATGTGAAGACTGTTTCGTGCATTCGTCCTATTCTGACACTTCATGTAGCTCGTTGCTGTCTTGTAAGCACTTTTTTTAAAAGTGACTTTTCAGTCAATCTATTTATGAGTGCGGCTCTGTTCATTGGAACATTGGGATGGCGGTAGGCACGAAAGTCGATGGCAGCGAAAGTGTCAGCGTGGTGGAGCCTTCCTTTAATGCCGACATCTCTACAGCGTCGTCACGAAAACGCATTTTCGGATTCCTTGAAGAAAAGTGGAACAGAATCCAAATTGGACACCAGGGTACTTCCTCTGTAGAACGACTCGAAAGTTTCGACTACTATTGCAAAACGGCTTCCTGGACCCGAGTCGTTGTGGTCTATGTGATCGCACCAATTCCTGCGTTGTCAACAGCACTACTGCTAGAATGTCTGCCACTTCAGTCGCCTTCCGAAGGTTGGGCTGCCAACTGGGTGTTCTGGATCCGATTGACGTTAACGACAGCCGTAATGGGGTGTGCTGGAATGTCCAAACTCGTCACGCTCGTCCCTGATCTGGATCCTACATTCTTTAGAAGACAGCTTGTCGCTTGTAGTGCCAGTGCAGCCTACGTGGGGACTGCTTTAATTGCGGCAATCATAATTGGGTTTCCGATTCCTCTGATGTGGTATGTTGGAGGGTTCGTCGTCGGAATATACGCCCAGGTGATTATGGTACTTGTTTTTGGGCGAGAACCATTTGTGAACAGGTCCGCCACGCTGCAGCGATTTATTCCATACTTTGCTGCAATCATGACGCTATGCAATATTTATCCACTGTACAAGATTCTTGACGGATTTGTTCCTAAGCAGTAGCTCTCGCCGTTCTGATGCTGCCCATTTGGAGGTTTGCTGCAAAACAATTCATGGTGCGATGCACGCGAGGGTTAGAAGATTTTATGGCACAAATTGTTGCTATGACAGTCGACTTTTTCAGCGCACTCTTCGTCTCCGCTTGCATGTCTACCACATCATCAATGTATCTCTCCATGCTTTTCATTGCAGCAGACATCGGTCAATCGCTGCTTGAGTTTTGGGATGTTCGATCGAATGCAAACACGGTTAAACAACTTCTTCTAGATCGACATGAATCTTCTCTGCGTTTCAAGGGGGGGGTGTCAATAACTGCTATCAAGAACTCACGTGAAAGTACCTTCAATCTAGTGGACTGGATTCTGGCCGTGACTCGCGATCCTTTTGCGGTTGACATAACATTATTGAAAAACGTGCGATTAAGAGCTTGCTGTCCTCATCCGCTGTTAGCAGAACAACAGAGCAGACGTTGCAGGTATTAGAAATATCGGGCATCTTCAGTGCTGCAAGCAACACTTCTCGGCATCATCCAAGGCTACTGCCTCGATCAATACGAGTGGCTAACGCAACAATTCTCCCAAAGAATAGCGATCAGGTAACAGCATTCACAACGGCGCCTTCTCTCGAATCTATAAAAGACGAGCACGGTGTTAACCACGAAACGAGTGACCGTCTCAGACACACAGCAACGTCCGAAAGCCTAGTTCGACAGGGTCTGCGGCTCCTTTTCCATTGCGAATATTTGACACTAGTCGAGTACGTCGAGTGTGTTGTGCCGCTTGTTTTCATGATATACAAGTCAGTGCTTAAGCAACTACCGAATGCTGTCTACTACCCTGGCGGTGCTGACAAGTGGGAGACTGGTGCAGTAACAAATATCCTGATATTTGCCGCATTGGAAGTTGTGTCGCTACTGCTTCTGCACTTTTATCTGCAGCGCCAGTTTTCGTTCTCACCGCTCTACCAACTCGCATTCGTAGATCTATACGGTGCAACCACAACTCAATGGTAAGCAAATTCCCCAGATACGCATATATCAATACTTTCTGGGACTGACAAACATGCTTTCATGCTGCAGGTACTGATTTTACGTTTCAGTTCAAATGGCTTAAAGTTCGCGAACCGTAAGACCCTACCTATTCACGTCAAGTTAGCCTGCTCTACCGACCGCCTTGGGCATCTTCTTAGCGCGTGCGTCCTCGACTTCCTTGGTTTTATAATAATGCGGTGCGAGTTCCATGAGCCAGTCGGACTTAATGGGGATCACATTCCGCATATATTCCTTGGTCGTGAAGGCCAGTTCGTGGTACACCACCCATCGCGGGACTTCCTCAAGTTTAATCAGACACGAGCTTGGGTGGATGTGAACAGATTGCGCCTTCTTCACGGTCTTGTAATGTCCCGAGTTATCCAGTTTGGCAGTGTTATAAAAGTAACCAGCACAAATAGCCTTCCGGATCGGCTCGTGGTCGCTCCGGTTGCTAGTCCGCTCGAGCTCCACACGGTCACAAAGCCCTTCCAGCTGTTCTCGAACATCACGCGCAGTCTTTAACGATCGCATGATCACAAAGTTCTCGTACGTCCATTGAGTGGAGTAGTTGGTCTCCACCCACTGGTTGTAGACGTTCATCAGTGTGATGTGGTCTCCACCGCCACCTCGCGCGAAGTTGACACGCGCATTATCAGCATGCACCGCCTTGTCCTTGGGTCGATAGAAGATCGAATTGTTCACACTTAACATGGCACAGACCGTCATGACTTCTTCAACGCAGCCAAACTTCTCCGAAGCAAGTAGCGCCTTGGACATCATGGGATCCAGCGGGAACTCCGCCATACGACGTCCAAGCTTCGTTAGTTCACCCAACCCATTCAATGCACCAAGAGCGTAAAGCTGTTCGAGAGAGCGGATCAGCGCCTTCTCTGGCGGTGGATCCATAAAGTCGAAGTGCAGCAGATCGTTGATTCCTAGCGACTTCATGAGCAGCACCACACTAGCGAGATTTGTACGCTGGATTTCAGGCACAGTGTTCTCGTCCAGCTCGTTCTTGTACGACCAGGCAGTGTACAGACGGAAGCACTTGCCTGGAGCTGTACGACCAGCTCGTCCAGCACGCTGATTGGCCATGGCTTGTGAGACTGGCGCCACTAATAGCGACTCCATTCCGGTCTGTGCGTTGTAGTTCGTCTGCTTACAGAAGCCCGTGTCGATCACGTAGCAGATACCAGCGATAGTCAGCGAAGTCTCGGCGATATTCGTACTTAAAACCACTTTCCGAGCTCCCTCTGGCGTTGGTTCAAACACTTGAGCTTGACGTTCCGAAGGCAACGTCGCATAGATCGGTCGGATCAGTAGCTCGCGTATTCGAGAGCCAAGACCTCGCGTTCGTTGTAGCAAGATCTCTTCTGCCGCTTCAATCTCTTCTTGGCCAGTAAAGAACACGAGAATGTCTCCAAGTGGCTGGGTAATGTGGATCTGCAGCACTGTAACGATAGCAGCATCCAGATAATCCGCCTCGGGGGCTTTCGTGTACAGAATATCCACGGGGAACATCCGTCCAGGGATCTTGAAAATCGGCGCATCGTCAAAGTACGCGCTGAATTTGGTGGCGTCCAGTGTGGCACTAGCCACAATGATCTTGATATCGTCCCGGAACCGAGCGATATCCTTAATCAGCCCGAACAAAATGTCGGTACTGAGCGTGCGTTCGTGCGCCTCATCAATGATCATAACGCTGTAGGATTTCAGATCTGGCTCGGTTAAGAACTCACGCAGTAGCATACCATCCGTCATGTACTTGATCACTGTCTTGTCACTCGTACAATCCTCAAAACGGATCGAGTAACCCACTTCGTTGCCCAATTTCACGTCCATCTCCTGAGCCACTCGAGCTGCCACACTCATCGCCGCTACTCGTCTTGGCTGCGTACAGCCGATTTTACCGAGTTCCGAGTACCCAACTTCATGTAAATACTGCGGGATCTGCGTCGTTTTCCCCGATCCGGTCTCTCCTTCAATGATAATAACCGGGTAATTCCGGATGGCCTCTAACAGCGACTCTCGATATGGATACACTGGCAGCTGCTTCCTTCCTTCTTGCATACTCAAATGTTTGACTTGCTCCATCTTCTTCCTCGCCTCCTTAACGTCTTCGTCACTCACGTGATGACCAGACAGCATTTGCTGCGAGATGAAGTCAATCTGGTCGTCGAATACGAGCTCGTCTTCTTCCTGAGTCTCTCGGTGTTTATCCTTAGCTCCGAACCTGCTTGTAGCCATCTTCACTTGCGTTTCCTCCCATACTTCCTGCTCCGTATGAAGCACTTCTTCCTCTTCGTATCTGTCGGTTAAAAGGTCCTGTTTCTTCCGAATTCGATTCCCTTCGTCGTCCACTTCTTCGTAGGAATCTGGAATCTGATAGCCGTCTACTTCTTCTTTTCTAGATCTAGCTTTAGCGGTCTCTAGAATTCTCTGGTTAAGTTCCAGTTGCTGCTGTTCCTTTTTGGACCTTTTCGTCTCTTGGAACAGCACGTCTTCGTCTCGTAATTGGAATTCTAGGAGCTCTAACTCTTTCTCTTCCCTCTTTTTAAGGTACTCTTGTCGGCTCAGTTCCCTCAATTGGTTCAATCGTTCGCTCTGTGCGGCGTCAAGTGTCCCGCGCTTGGCGAGCTGCTTGATCTCGTCGCTTGTGAGCCCTTTGCGGCCCTCGATCTCCTCAGCTTTGCGTTTATGTTTAGTGCGTTCCTCATCGCGCTGACGTAGGCGCTCAGCGAAGGCGTCGCGTTCCTCGCGGTCGCGCAGTCGCTCACGTTCGTCGGGTGAGAGCTTGGACTCGTCTTCGGTAGCTTCTAGCTCGCGCTTGGAGCGAAAGTCGGTAATAATCTCAATGTCAGAGCCATCATCGGCGTTTGGAGGAGCAGATTCGGCGTTGTCGTCGCTGTCTGAGCGTCGGCGGCGACGGGAGAAGCCGTCTGAGCGACGCGATCTGCCCTCGTTGCCGCTACGAGCCATTCGGGAAATGGAAATTTAGAAATGGGGTGCTGAAAAAGAAATGGTAACCAAATAATGGGTAAGAAAAAATAACGAATTTTAGTACTGTAGGTGAATGCCTTTTTTATTTGTCAGCGCTCTTTTTGAGAATATTTTTTTTGCCACGACTATGGTTTCGGTGCCAGCTAAAATATATTGGATATCAGTTCAACAATAGTTTGGGGCGCTTTAAAGGAGGCTGGCAAACTAGTAAGAGGCGAGCGTCAATTTTGCGTGAAATGAATCTTTTGGTCAGATTCTGCAATTACCACCAGATTGCCTTGAACATTAGCATGCAAAGAGTGAGATCGACATCATCAGAGATTCCACTATAGTAGTTCCACAGAGTTAAAACGGTACGTTGTCATGTGCATCACGTTCCTCTTCATAAACACCGCAATTTGATCAAACTGCATAGCTTTAAGCTCTGCGAATAAGCGTGATCGTAAACTCCGCAAAGAGTTACTCGAGCAGCAACTTACCATCTTATACGTTATCACGAGTAGGCTAGCTCCTTATTTGATGAACAGGCAAAAAGGTTAAAATGCGTTCATATACTTCGTAAAATCAGGGGAATCACTACAGTTAGATGCGGAAGCCTGACGCAGGTAGCAAATCGATACGCTTCTCCACCATCGCTTTTTGTATAGGGAACACGTTGGTCAGGCCACGTTCTCGAGCCTCTTCTAGCGCCCGTTGTGCCACAGCCTTAAACCGATCATCCTCGTGGTCCAGAACACGACGCGCAGCTTGGTCGTCTAGTAATTGAGTGGCACGTCCATCCTTAAGCATTTGGCGTCTGGAATCGGCTTGTTGCTTCTGTCCCACTGCAAGGCGAAGGTCTTCCAGTCGACGTTCCTGTTCCTCTTGCTTGGACTGCATCTCGATACGCTTGCCGAATTGCTCCCACTGGATGACGCATTCCAGCGCCTCTTCTGTCTCACGCTCTTTCTCGCGTTGCTTGCAGTCGAGTTGATACCGTCGACTACGTGCAATCGCCTCCTGCTCGACTGCACGTCGATCTGCGCGCTCTTTCAGCAGTCTATCTTCCTTGACACGCACCTCGTTACTCTGGTTCTCAAGCCGTTCCTCGTTCTTTAGCTCCAGCTTCACGAGGTTGTTAGCGGCGAGATCAATCATGCGCTGCTTGCGCGCTTGGGCATTTTCTTTCTTCTGTCGCTGTAGATCCATACGCTTAGCATCGCGTAGCTGCTTTTTACGCTCTCCTTCTTCGCGTTTCAAATCTTCCATACGCTCCTTCTCCTTCTGCATCTCTCTATGAACTTGTAAACGTTGATTTGCCAGCTGCGTATCTTCACTAGCTTGCTTTAGACGCAGCTTCCGTTGCCGATCTTTCTCCTTTTCGTCCAGATATTCCTGTTCTGCCTGCTGCTTCATCAGCTCACCTTCTCGTTTTTCCTGTGCATACTACCGACGTTAGAACATAGACAGGTACGAGGGTTATCGTCGACGCATTCGTACCTCGCGGAGCTCGCTAATGTAACGTTGCTTGTATTCTTCGAGCTGTTGCTTCTGGATAGCTGCGAGTCGAGCGTTTTCTTCCAGTCGCTTCTTTCTCTGACGTTGTTCCTCGGCTTCACCTTCGATTACCTGGGCAACAACCTGCTGGTCATAGTGGTAATTGGTCAAGTCGTCCTGGTCCTTGAGCATTCGCTTGTCTTCAAGCTGGAGCGTGCGATGCTATCCGACAATAACAACAGCAAGTTAATTTTTTCAAGAGAAAAATAGTATTTAAACTTCAGTCGAAATACTCACATGAACCACATCGGCTAGGAGCTGCTTGCTTCGAAGTGTTTTCATGCGGTCGGTCTGTTCGTAGAGCAGCCAGTTGGCGCGTTCAATTTGCTTTGTTTGCGCTTCTCGTTGAAGTCGCATCTCCTCCTCGTCGATCTTCTGTCGTTCTTCCTCCAGACGCTCCTCCTTGTCTTTTTTCCATCGATCCTTTTTCATGCGCAAGGCCTCCAGGGTGTTCGGCCATTTTGCTGTTCGTTGTTCCGACTTGAGTTTGATTGCCTGGCGTCTGGCTTCGCGATCGCTTTGAGCTGGGGGAGACACGCTCGCTCTCATGCGCTCGAGCTCATCAGCACTTAGTGTAGTCGAGTGTGGCATGTCGCCAAGAGACCTCTTACCACGTGCTATTGTAATCTATCTACCTAGTGACAGAGCTCCACTAACGCAGTTACTAGTAGCGCAGTGCTAGGAGTGTTATGCTAAAAAAACAAGCTCGAGTCCACCTACCTACCAAGCTTTCCTAAAATAGGTTGAGTCGAAGTGTCCAAACACATTTTATTTTCACTTGGCAACCATCACGGCTTCATTTTAACAAAAATGTAACAAAGCAGGAATAGAGTAAGCTTAATCAAATCTTCATGCAGCAGAGCTGTTAGCCTCTCGTACTCGGGTCCAATGCTTGGGAGCTGTCCTGGAGCTCGGATTTTTTTAAAGAATATGGAATGCAAGTAACGGACGGATTAAAGGAGCAAATTCCGTCTTACCCTTCGCTTGTGTGTACTTATGAGTTCATGACGGCAAAAGCTTCCTAAGTTTGGAATATTTAGCACGAGCAGGTTGGATATGGCGAGAGACCTTAACATGATGTAAATTACATGACAAGTCGTACGTGACACCCTCCTGGTTCAGTACCTCAATGCGAAACCTGCTTAGCAGTCCAACGCTAACCGGCTTCATCTCAAGCATGGCCAAGCTCATACATACCGAGAAATAACGAGGCCCAGCATTGAACGACGCGAACTTGTAAGCCGAGATAGTGAGCAGTTTGCCGGTGCGGGAGTCATTCACTACTCGGGCCTGAACGCTTCGGCGTCAGCTGCGTTATGCAGCCCATAGCGTAAGTTGCTAAACCGATGGCCGAACCAGCGGGAATAAAAGCTCCATCGGAAAGCGTCGTCTCTTCCAGTGTTTGCTTTGGTTCAACAGGGACAGAAGGGTGAAGCCACAGCATCTCCTTCAACGCAGCTTCAAATTACACGAGCTGGCTCACATCCTGCATTGAAGGGGTGGCGTCAACTCTTTCCACGCCAATTTTTGGTAAATTGTCCATGATCCCCTATCGAATAGCAGGATTCACTCGAGGATTCTTCGAAAGGTTGAAAAAGAACCAGCTAAGAGCTTGAGCGGTGGTGTCCCGCCCAGCAATGAGGAAGGTCACAATGATAGTACGTAAGTACTACGGGCCAAACTGGCGTTCTTCCGCGTCTGGCGAATTGCTAACTCGGTCAAGAATAAGAGACACGATGTCTTCTCTTCCCCTTTACCGAGTTTTGCTCGTTGTGCCAAGGCCTGCTCTACAATTTCGAACAAATTGCTGTCGATCGCATCAATGTCGCGTCGAAGTTGCCCCTCGATACCCAAACCCAACCAACGTTGAGTTTTCCAGAGCAAACCTGGTCGTGTGAAGCGGAATCGAAGAGCTCGTTGAGCACGATCGAACGCCTTCTGGAATGGGTGTTTTTCCTTTGGATCAAGACACCCCATGTGGACTCCGAAGTGAGGCAGAGCTCGGAAAATTAAATAAAATATTGTATTGGATTTAGAAAAAATAATCCGTTATTCCGTATCGATAAAAACAATAATAAGTACTGCAATTATTGTCAGGAATTGGTAGGGTCAGAGCGGTGCAGTGGTTTGGGATGACCCTACCAATCCACTGCACAGGGTTCAAGGCCCACACCTGTAAGAGAAGCTGGTGGCTACCACCGGGACTTTTGTCCGGGCTTAGGGTACTCTAGCAAACAAAAATGCGCCGGCGACGGCAGGCAGTCCACCAGCGGATATGGGTTTTGTATCTGAAAGTTTTATACCTGCTATATTTAATGATAAGACATATTATCATTAATAAGAGGTTATCCTTCTTAAGTGACTTTCATCTACTCTGCGTCTTCATCGGCCGACTCATGGAACCCCAACAGAGAAGTGAAGTCCCAGAGCTCACGGTTAGCGCGTAAGAACACCAACATCTCGAAGTTAGCTGGCAACAGGCTGGAGCGTAGAGGGTTGAGCACCAACTTGCACTGCGAGAAGAGGCGCTCACAGCGATTGCTGGTTGGAGGAACCTTTTGTAGCACGTCAATGTACTTGGTTCCAGCGGTTCGGCGAGATCTCTTCGCTTGACGAAGCGTTTCCGTCGCGGAATCTGTTTTCTTCTTCGTGTTCGGTGCTGCTGGTTCGCGATCAGCAGGGCCAGCAAAACGAGCCACAGCTTCTTCTTCATCGGCGCTTAACGGTCGATCCGACAGCAGCTTGACAATTGCATTCTCAAAGGCCGGCGAGTGGACAATTCGAGCCGATGCACTAAGGTGGTGTGCCGTCCCTGGGTACTTGGAAATGACAGCGTCGAAAAGGAGTCGCACATCGGCAAGGTTACCTTCTTCGGCCTGTAGCTTGACACAGACGCTGTCTAGCGCCTCAAGCTTAGTGACAAGCTGGACAATCTGCCGATGGGTGCTTGGTCGGGGTAGGAGGTCCTCCACAGCTGTCACCATTTTGATAGCGTCCCGGATCTCCACATAGCGAGCCAGCATCTGGTAGTGGATGACCAGCGCGTAGCGTTTGCCTTCAGCGGCTTGTACTTCGTAAACCGAGCTAGGTCCGCTGCATTGTTGGCGTGCCGCAGCTGAATACACAGCGTTTGGACTTGGTCGATCAGCGGCTTGTAGTCTTCAAGGTACCGGCCGACAGCGAGGTTGAAGCGATGACTTGCGCATCCTACGAGCGGTACTCCCATGCGCGTAGCGACGGCTTGGTTTGTAGGGCAGTTGTCAGCAACCATGAACAGGACCATACTTCGATCCTTCTTGTAGACATCCAGCACCGCATCAATCATGTCGATGTGAGCATCAGCGGTCTGGCCGTGCTCGGCAGAAGACAGCCCGAGCAAAACTTCGTGTAGCGCCCCGTCCTTCGTGAAGACACCGTAGATAGCGATGAAATGGTAGGTCCCTGAAGTCCAGCCGTCAAACATGAGGCCAAACTGGTTGCCCATGTCTGCCGCAATACGCGTTCCCACCTTGCCCGCCACGTGACGCATGTACTTGACCAACGTCTTCGAAGACACTGGCTTGATTGCAGCCAGCGCACGCGTCATGGCGTCGTCCACATCACTCAGGGGCATGTTCCGGACGAGAACCCACTCCATCCACTTGAAGATCTTCATAGTGCGCGGGTCAATGAAGCCGTGTGCTTTGAGGGACTGGCCGAACGATCGCTGGCTCTCGTCGTAAGTCTTCTTGTAGCCGGGGTGGCTCGTTGCGAGGTGGTTGATGAGATTTGTGTAGCCAGTCCCCGGCGTCTGCTTGCGAGCCTTGCCGCACTGCTTGCAGGAAAACTGCCCGTTGCCGCAGTCCGTGAAGAAAAAGCTGGAGATGGCGCGAGAAGTTGACATGGCACTGGCGAAATGAGAAATGAGAGGCACGAAAGCTCAGCCTGATGCCTTCGGCAAACTCACACAAACCATTCGTTTTGATTGCATGCTTGACAACCACTACTTTACTCTCTGTTGCTTTTTACGTTGGGTAAAAATTCAATATAATTATTACGGGCACAATTGCATATTTTACGGAAAGATCAGTTTCCCAATAATCCATTATTCCGTCAATACAATTGCACATAATATTTTTTTCCGAGCCCTGGCTGGAAGTACTTTCACTTGAGTTCTTAATAACAGCTATTTACATTTATCCCTTGAAACGCAGAATAAATTCATGCCGATCTTGAAGAAGTTGTAGAACCGTGTTCGCATTCGATCGAACATCCCAAAACGCAAGACCGATATCTGCTGCAATGAAAAGCATGAAGAGGGCCTTAATGATGTGGTAGATATGCAAGCGGAGACGAAAAGTGCGCTGAAAACGTCGACTGTCACACAAAGATTTGTGCCATAAAATCTTCTAGCCCTCGTGTGCACCGTACCATGAAATGTTTTGCAGCATACCTCCAAATGGGCAGCATTAGAACGGCAAGAATTACTCGGATTTGCTTGAAAACAAATCCGTAAAGAATCTTGTACAGTGGATAAATATTGCACAGCGTCATGAATGCAGCAAAGTATGGAACAGATTGTTGCAGTGTGACGGACGTGTTCACAAATGATTATCGCCCAAAACCAAGTACCATAATCACCTAGGCGTATATTCCGACGACGAACCCTCCAACATACCACATCAGAGGAATCGGAAACCCAATTACCACTGCCGCAATGAAAGCAGTCCCCGCGTAGGCTGCACTGGTACTCCAAGCGACAAGTTGTCTCCTTAAGAATGTAGGGTCCAGATCAGGGACGGGCGTGACGAGTTTGGACATTCCGGCACACCCCATTACGGCTGTCGTTAACGTCAATGGGTTCCAGAACACCCAGTTGGCAGACCCGCGTTCGGAAGGCGACTGAAGAGGGAGATATTCTAGCAGAAGTACTGTTAGCAACGTAGGAATTGGTGTGATCACATAGACCACAACGACTCGGGTCCAGGAAGTCGTTTTGCAATAGTAGTCGAAACTTTCGAGTCGTTCGACAGGGTAAGCACCCTGGTGTCCAATTTGGATTCTGTTCCACTTTTCTCCAAGGAATTCCTGAATGCGTATTCGCGACGACGCTTTACTGGCTTCTGCATGTTAGGAAGGATCCGCCACGCCGACACTTTCGCAGCCGTCGACTGAATTTTCATAGGTGGTTTTTTCAATAAAAAAGGTGTTTATAAGAGCTAGTCTCTACAATTCGGAAAGATCAATAAAATCCGTCGTAATGTTTTTTAGCGACCGAAATAGTCGTGACTCAATCCGACCATTGACCGTCACAGACTATTGGGACTAGAATTTCACCACGCGTAATGCGTTCCGATGCGGAAGTGAAGATTCCGAGACAGTCGTGGCTTACATTCAGGCAGGGAACCCGAAAATGCAATACTTAGATTAATACATCGATGTGAGCTGAGAAAATTAATAATTCAATTATTTGCAAAACTTCGTAAGTCACGATTGTAGTTCAGAAACATTATCATCTCGAGCCTGGCTGGAGACATTCGCTTCCGTAGATCAGACAACACCAGCTTAGCGAGAGAGAAGAAGCGCTCACACTCGATAGACGTTGGCGGGATGTACGCGACGTCGACGTAGTGCGCAATTGCGTTTCTTGAACGCCGCTCTCACAATAGAACGCTCTTCGGCGGCTCTTGAAGACGACCGTTCGAGATCAGGCGACCTAAATTCAGCGCAGGCTAATTTTTCCGCGACGTTCAGCGCGTCCCCACGCTGTAACTTGACTAGACCTTACTCAAAATTGGGGCTGTTCCCGTTGCTGGCAGCCATAAATAAATAATAAAATTAAAAAATTGGGATTAATTTTAACGCATATTATTTTTTCGGGTTCCCTGCATTCAGGTGACGATTCGAAGCGAGAAAAAATTTAAGAAAGAAAAAACTACGCCAGCTGATCGAAGAGATGGAAAAACTTCAATCACTGAAAGCGCGCGTTTGTGGTAGTAGGTCCTGGCTTCAAAGTCTGCGAGAGAGATATTCTTCATGATGCGCCAGACCCGACTAGCGGTGATAGGCTGCTTGGAAGTAAGCTGAGGTGCTTGTCGGTGGACACAAATGCGTTTAGCTCCAATATTTGGGCTTTATCTACGTCGAACCTGATGTTACTTACAATCCTAAGTGCGATTTGCGAATAACGGTTAAAATACGCCGTCTTCTTTATCGGGTGGGGCCGAGAACGATGTCTCCAAAGAAAATATCTATCCAGTGGGCTCATGCTTGCGATTGTTTATAACTAATCTCTACGTAAAACTTCACAAGGAATCCATTGTTACTGTCATGTCTACGTAATTCTGACTTTAACATCGTAAAAACTGAATTCGAAATCGGTGTTTACAAATCCCAGATGGTTTATTTTAAAATTTACTTCTCAATATTTGAATTTGGACAAAAGTATATTTCTGCTTTCGCTTGAAGATTGTAAATTCCGACAGCATGTATATTCCGACTTAAAATTTTATCCAATCAAATCACACCAAGTAGAACAGCCAATATCTATATGTTGTTTCCGACAACGTCAAATCACCACAATTAGAACAGCCAAAATATATATGTTGTTCCCGAGAACTTAAGAGAACCAGCCATTCAGCCGACCGTCATGCTTCAGTTTAGATCTCACATTTGAAAATGCCTCGTGGCCGAAAGCCAAAGCGCGATGGTGGCGGCAGGAAGCAGCGTGAGCACAAGCACACTACGAGTTCCGACTCGCCGTCGTTAACACGTACGAAAGCACGGGGATCCAAGATACACTGAATACCTTCTTTCCAGCGCTTGAGGGACACAAAACGAAAGAGCATCTATCTGTGGGTCAAGAAGAAGGGCAAGCTGGTCACCATGTGTGAGATGGTGACAGGGGCATCGAGTCGTGGGATCCAGCTTGGGCTGAGCACCTCTTTAGGCGCGGACGCTGAAATAGACCTCGTCAGATGGGTGAATAACAAGTGGGAGGAAGGCGCTCCGGTGTCGTCAGCAATGCTCCGTCTATGAGCCCTGCGAGTGGCAACCGAGCGTGGTATTCCTCATGGCTTGTATAAAACTATAGACCCGTAAAAAGGCGGATATTTGCGTCGCCACCATCTCATCTTCCGAGCGAAGGCTCGACAAGGTCAAATCTACCCAAGCGATGCATCGACAGTGGCAAAGAGCTGTCGGGTCGAAGTGCTGGCTAAAGTGAAGGCTTTTTACATTGATATGATCTATAACGTCGACCAAACGCCAATCTTCTTCGGTAAATATCCCGACGTCTACTATTCAGGAGAAAGGCAGAATGACAGTGTGGATTCGCTCGAGTGGTTGTGATAAATATTGCATCTAGGAAGCTCTCATGGGGAGAAAACAAACTCTCTTCTTGGTTCTCAAAACCATTCCATCCAAAAACACTGTCATGTCTGCTATCAGTACTCGGCAGCGCCACGGTTTTGAAAAGCGTTTGTGGAAAGATATTTAGGGACTACAAGACGCCTTCGGCCTGCAGATATACGGCAACTCCAGCGGGTGGTGGACAACCGCGATATCGCTTACATTCTTGCATTACCAGTTTTGGGACCGCCCTGACATGTCAAAGCCTGTGGTAGTTTTGTGGGACGACTTCTCAGCCCATTGGACTAACGAGGATGTCGAGTGCGTGAAGGAGCTGAACGTAGTACTCATGAAGGGTATACTTGCGTCTGTCAGCCGGCTGATGCCAGCTGGAACAAACCATTCAAGCAGCATATCAGGCGTGCACGGGTAGACGACCTGCAGAGGCAGCTGAACGAAGCGAGCGGTCATGCCTTTAAGCTGACACCTCCCGACCGCAAGAAAGTGATTGGGTGGGTTTTAAGTGCTTGTGGATGTACGAGCTCAGCTACAATTGCGAATGGGTTATCTTGTGTTGTAGCAGAGAGCCCCTTGGATTCTGAGCTTGCCAGCAAGTGTAACAGCTTAGCAGAGCGACTTGCAGAGATAGATCTACTAGATAGTCAAATCGGTCCGGTTGAAACTGATATTGTTGATCAGCATATGCTGCCGTGTACAGTTTAATAGACCGTGATGCCCCCCCCCCACGTGCGTACGCGCACACGCACGTTCGTCAATGCCTTGTGTCGGACTTCATTTTAGCCGCCTCCCGTGTTGGGAGGGTTCTGTAGGTAAACCACCCTCCTGAATTAAACGGTATCATTGCGATTTTCTATCACTGCTCGTTTTGTACCAAACATATTATGACAACAAATAATTATTAAATATGAAAGGGTGCTATTTCATTTGAGAGATGTGTAAATTCCTGAAACCTTACCCAGCCATTGTAGTCGGAGTCTAAAAGTGCGATACGGTATCCAATAGACCACAGGCTTGAAAAGTAGATTATTCGCGAGTTTTGTTTATGTACCGTGAATACCAATGAATGGCGCAAACAATACAGTTTCTGAGCCTCGATAATTCTAGATGCGATATTTACGGATCTTTTTCAATGCACCCAGCTTGTATCAGAAATAATCACATTTCTATTATAAAGTAGTAACTAAAAAAAATTGTGTAACAAGTGCGAGACCGTATTCTCTATAAAGTATACAAAAATCACGAAATCGTAGCCTATTCTTCTCAAGGTGACCAGACAGACAACATCAAGAGAGCCTACCTCGCTTTTGATTAAAAACAAATCAAGATGCCCGGCGCCGCAACCCAAGGCGTCGAGCAGTTTCATGGCAAGTAGCAGGATAAGATCTGCAATCTTGTTGCGAGCCACGAAAACTTCGTCGATTTTGCTCATCACGTCGAAGAAGAAGCGTCGGATTCGGAGTCCCCTTTCCTTACCGAGTACACTGCTTCGGGATGGCTGTGACACCCTCAAGGCCATGACCTTTTTTTTGCCCCCGAGCTGGATGCTCTCGGGGCCCTGGTTAAGGATATTTATCAGGAGTAACCTCAACATCAACAAATGTTGCAGTAAACACCTCAAGTTTAGTTTTAGCCAATTAGAACATGTATATAAATACGCCACGAAAGAAAACGGCTTGAGGCCAAAACAAAAAAAGACGAGTTCTATCCTCCATTCCCCCCCCCTGGATTCAAGTGGTAAGCTCGCTGGAAAATATGTAATCATAAAATCGTATTGCTGCTAATGTGCTCGGTATGCGCCTTGTTAGGCCTACTCATTATCTCTACATATGTCTGCTTAATCTTTGGAGCGACATGGTCTTACCGATGTCACACTGCATGACGATTTTCAATCTGCAGAGGACGCAGGCCTCTTTTTAAAAGACGTTGCGCTTAACGACAGGAAATCGATCTCTCTAGAGTCGTACACTGGATCCTCCAAACTCTGGAAATGCACAGGTCAAGATTGCCCATGGTTTGTAAAATTGGGATTGCGGCGAGGTCAAAACAAAAAAAAATCGAAACTCAGCTCAATTCCCCCAGGTGCCTGGTTCGTTAGTGGAATGCATTTACAGCATCGTGATGTATGTGATGCTGTACCCGTGCTGTCTGTTAGTCAAGTTAGAGGTCTAAGTGGTTTTCAGGCTGCTATCGTTCCTGGACGCGAGACCTCTCGACTGCGAGTAGTCGAGTCTGTGAAAGCTATAAACCACGTCGATTTAAGCGATCAGGCGGCTACCGTCTATCGTGCGATATCAGCAGAAATATTGGCTCGTACATCGCTAGCAGAAAAACAAGCTGGTTATGACACCCTAGTCGCGTTTCTGAAAAAGTTTGCAGTTTTGAATTCTGGATCGCGAGTTTGCTGCCAAATGGACAATAAGTGTCGATTTTATCGAGGATTTATTGCGATCGGTTCTGTCATTTCTCGTTTAAACAATTTGCTGCCTGTGTATGAGATCGATGGAACTCACATGAAGCACCCTCAGTATAATGGAGTTTGTCTGACTTTGATTGGTAAAGATGGAAACAAAGGAAATGTGCTCATCGCAGCAGGCTTTGTTTCAAAGGAAACGAAGTGGAATTTCGCCTGGTTTTTATCAAACTGTATTGCGGCAGGGGTGAGTTTGGCCGACGTCGCGCTGTTCACAGACCGTGGCCTTCAGTTAGAAGCGCAAATGTTACTATCCCAGCTTGGCCTTCAGATACACCTAAAGTTCTGTGCGCTCCACATCGTATTTAATGTCTGCCATCGCTTTAAGATCATTGATCCTGACATTAAACGAGTTCAACCATTTGTTTTTAAGTTACAAGCTTGTAATTCCCGCCGTGGGTACGAGTCAGTACTCAGAGAGATTCGAAAAGAATTTCCTGTTCCCTTTCACGCTCGCTCCGCTAAAGAGGAATATATAGACGACTACCTGCGCAAGATCCATCCCACAAGCTGGTCTCGGTTCGGTAACTTTAGCCATGATGAAGACGACATTGCTTACATTAAAAAGCATTGGAGCAAAACCCCTTCATACGGATCTCCAAAGCCATTGTGTGGCGTTCGCACGACTAGCGGTGCAGAAGGTGAAAACAATGCCCTACTCTGGAATAGTTTACGAAGCAGTCAAGTTCCTGCTGCGTCTATTCGTTTTTGCTCTCGGGTAATGATAGCTGTTAACAGCAGTGGACGTATTTCTAGTACTTGGCAAACTGCAAAACACGACGTGACCCCTTACGCCAAAAAGGTGTTCGACGAAGAGCTACGAAAGTCTACCATGCTAAAATTGATAAGATCACCACCGCAGAGTTATCTCGCTGAGGAATACTACGCGTCTCAAATGGAGACTTCGTCACACATCATCCGTGGATCTCAATTCTACCGCGTAAATTTGGAAAGTCAACAGTGTTCTCGCTGTCCAGTGAGAGAGATGCAGATGATGCCATGTCGGCACTTAATTGCAGCCATCTTCAAGGAGAAATGTGTCAACAGAAGTTTAAGCATTAGAGAAGAGCTTCTACGAACTTTCCATCGCGCGTACACGATCTCCTCATTTCACAGGGCCTTCAAAGATGTTTCAATTTTCTTGCTGATTGAGTCCGAGCTGGACTCGGATGTAGCGATGCATCCCCCACCACCCTATCGCCAAGCCGGACGTGCTGTAGGTCCTCTCAAGCCTAAGAAGGATCGTCAAAACTACGCAAAACGATATCTTAGCAACGGGGAGGTTCCTTATACTAGACCTCCACCTTCCACAGAGCCTGACCAGGCCTCAACTGTGAGCAATATGCTGACTGAGATTGGTGAGTCGATTTTAGGCCCCACAACAAAATCTAGATCGCAATACACTTGCAGCACCTGCGGGGTACCCGGGCATAACTCACGTCGTTGTACGAACACGCCAGGCGATGTAGAATCGGTTGATGAAGGGATAGTAGCTGGTGAATATGTGGTCAATACCTCCCCGTATACCGCATGTGGAGTTCCGCAAGGATGGATATTACTGTATATCGGAGACGAACAATAAAATTATAAAACTTTAATAAAAAGATATATAATATCCGTACGCGTGAATTATGTTAATGATGGAATTTTTCGTAATGTACACGCAGTATCGCTGTAGTAGCATTGAGATCCTTGCAGTATCCTCCGCGGGTTTGGCTTCTGCTACGCCTCCGAGTACATCTGCAATCCCGAGTAGATATTCGGCATCGACTGCCGCTTCATTCTTGGCCGCGGTGCTGATTGCAGCCGGCACTGCTACTGCTTGTCCATTATGGGCGCGAGACTATCAAAAAGCAGAGAGCTTATCTCTACATAACGGGCTTGCCGGTGCGATTCTACTGTCCAGTGCATGCGGAGCTTGGCGACGCGCTTACTATGGCTGAACTTCCTTTGGTTGCCCTCAACCGCTTGCCCGGTGCGACTACCGCCTGACTTAAAAAATCGACTTTGCTTTGTTGATTACGTATTGGCTAAAACTAAACTTGAGGTGTTTACTGCAACATTTGTTGATGTTGAGGTTACTCCTGATAAATATCCCCTGGTTAAGCCTGCTGAAACGATTGCGTGGACGCAAGGGCGAGGACACAAGCCGTCTGTATTGGGGATAGGCGTATTGTTCATCACGCTGGCCGTGCTGAAGTACCTCGATACATGGCAGAAGCATGCTATCGACTTCAACATCGGCATATCCACACTGGAGAAATGGTGTATCGCGTCATGCGGACGTTAGAGCCCGTCTTGTACGCCCAGCTTGTGAAGCGTGACAAAATATCATATCATATGGACGCTGGCAACACCTTCGCCAACTACCCCCATTTCCTATACGCTACTGACGTCAAGTTCCAATCAACATATTGACCAAGCGGTCGATTTACGGAACAGCAGGTTTCATTCTCGGCCAAGCACAAACGGTATGACTTCAATATTGAGTGCTCTGTCGCCCCATCTGGTGCTGCTATCGACGTTTTATCCCAAGTCCCGGATCATTGCTCGACCTGGCGATGATGCTCGACCGACTTTCCATTCATCGCCAGATGCTACGCAAGGAAGACGGCTCGGCTTCTGAAAAAGCGGATGAGCCGACACAGTCCCATCAAATGAGGGCAGGTTTGGTGACCAGGGTGCTGGACGAGTGCTACGTACGATTCAGCTTAAGAAGTAGCCTCCGGGTGGCGCCCCCGATCAAGACGACATTGCACGCAATAGAGCTGTTTTAGCGGATCGCGTTCTCGTAGACAACATCTTTGGTCGCATGGGCACAGTGTGGAAAGCAACTTACGCGACCTTCAAGTGGAGCGAGAACTGATTCGACGGTTTTGATCGACTTTGTGCAGCTTTCACGTTGATGTAATGCCTATGCGAGCCCGTGATATGGGTCTTTCTAGGTACCAGTCAATCGGCGATGGGTCCGTACGCAACGTGCAAGGGCCCAGCGTCAGTAACGAATGCGGTAGCAGCTGTGATCCCGCCCTGCACCGTACAGTGCTCGTCTTTCTGCGTTTTAGCGCGAAACCCAGTATGATTCAGATGATCCGCCTTCTTTTGCTTTGTAGACGGCTACGTTCAGCGAAGTTTGCTAGCGATTAGCTTATTAAGTCAATAGATATTGCTTTCGGCTTTTACTATGCTTGACTTTCCACCTTGCCGTCAAAATGGATGTAATCAGACTCCGTGCAGCTAAA